TTATTTACACTAAAAAAATATTAAAATTTAAGTTTTAACGAATTTTTAATTTAGTAGAATTAATGCTTTGTTCCATGTAAAAATTCAAAGTTATTTTTGCATTATTCATAATGAAACAACCAAATGAAAGTGTATCGTTATATTTCAAAAAGTTTTTATCAAAATGATATATCTACGATGCTGATAAATTGCTTAGAAATAATATGCATAGTTTTTCACTTGATTATTGCACTATTAGGTAAATATTAGAGAACTATGCACCCATAATGGTAGTAAGAAAATTTACATATTTTAAAAAATTTGTAAAAATCTAACATAGAAGAGGGATACAACGGAACAATGGACCACTAATGTCTAAAATTAAAACAGATACTTATTTTTTTTACTACTGAGATTCATACTCTTGCGGCCCTGAACAATTAAATAGACTCGATATTATTTTAACATGATGAACCAATAAGCTGAGCCTAATCGAAAAATCTACAGAATAAAAAAGATATACAAACTTTACAGTGGTCGGAAATTAGGTGCAGTGATTTTTGAATATTTATATTATTGTTTTCGAAATCAGAAGCTTTTGACTAGTGTAGAATTGTTTCGTGATATAATGTAACAATCTGAGAAGAGGAGAAAGCATAGTTAAATGTACTTGCATTATGCGTTAAGTCTATCATACAAAGGTAAACTTGCAGATATAGATGAAAAAGTATTGACGATCTATGACTCTTATAATGTACAATGATTTCAACTGTGATTCTATTTCTTATTGTGCCAAAATTCGTAATATACATACACATATATAAAGAAACATATATATGGATATATATATATATATATATATAATAAGTTCATGTGTGTGTACAAAATAATATATACGTTTGCTGGTGCACGTTTGTACATGTACACACATATACAATGGAGTTATATCTATACAAGGTATTATATAATGTTTACAAATATGTAAAAACAAAAAAATGATAAATTATTTCTTCACTTGACAATTAAATATTTCTGAAACAGAAAAAATCAATAGATCGAAGGAAGAGGTATTTTACATAAGGCCAGTAT